TCTCTCTCTCTCTCTCTCTCTCTCTCTCTCTCTCTCTCTCTCTCTCTCTCTCTCTCTCTCTCTCTCTCTCTCCACACACGCATACACACACAGACTGACATGTACTCTCAGCTAGTGGATTTTAACGTCAATAACCTTGGGCTTCTCGGGCTCCTTGGGCGGAATCTTCGGCACGGTCACGGTGAGGACGCCGTCCTTGCACTGCGCGCCAATCTTGTCAACGGCTGCATTGTCTGGCAGCGTGAGGCGTCGCATGAATTTCCCAGTGCTTCGCTCGATGCGATGGTACTTCACTCCTCCTGCTTCTCCCTTCTTCGTCTCACGATGGCGTTCTCCGCTGATGACCAAGACGTTCTCATTCTCCAGCTGCACCTTGACCTCCTCACGGCTAAGTCCAGGCAGGTCGGCCACGAACTCGTACGCCGTTGGCGTTTCCTTCACGTCCATCGCGGTGTTGGCCATGGCGTGCGACTCTCTCACGAAGGCACGGCCAGGCTCGTCCTGCGTTCTCAACATTTCATCTCCGAGGGTAATAATCTGCCGCACCGTGTCGGCCATCGACCCAAGACCAACATCGTGGGCAAAGAGAGGGTACAGCGCCATGACGACTGTGATCACGAGCAAGGATCGCGCACGGATGTGGCGGGAAAAAACAGGAGGAAAGCGCGCGAACTGTCGTTCTCTGGAGTCAAATCAACCCTCGCGAGGTTGCGAGCGATTGCGATCGTCCACCAGGAAGTCCAATTAGTGCGCAATAGATCAGATACAGAAAACAAGACTGATCGCAACTGCTACAGCGAGTGATGCGCAGGCGAAGTTTGCGAAAATGACAGGAAATAAGAGTGGGTGATACGCTTGCTATGCGAGTGATGCGCACGCGAAGACCGCTGCAAAGCTGGATAAAGTGCTCGCGACTGCGTTTCGTCTTTCAATGACACAAATCATCTGCAAGTAATGCGCAAATATATATATGTACTATATATATATACAGAGAGCCAGTACAGGTGGAGTGTAGACATCTTGGCGGGGGCGTCGAGGACGCACAATGGGAGAGTTCCGCGTGTGGCACGACGACATAAACCTCAAAAGACAAGTGGCGAATGGATGCTCTCTTAGAAGGTGGTATTGTACATTACATTAGGGGAGAATGTATCCTGCCATGTTGTACGAGAAGATGCACTGCCAACTTTTCACATTCCGTTAAGTACGGGGGAGGCCACGTAACGGTTCCGTTAGGAGCTTCTGGGCGTTTCTGGTTTCGCCCTGCGCCGTGACGTGATTCGCAGCTTCTCGGTGTTTCTAGTCTAAGCTCTCCACGATAGCCACGTGCGACTGGTTCCGCGGGTTCTAGATCCCTCGACTCTCCGGCGAATAGGGGCGGACCCACACAGGGGCACCTCCGTGTATGTATGAAGCGCTGCACGTGCGTCCAAATTCAGTCAGTACAGAAAACAAAAGTCGTAGGCCCTCGCGGCTTCTAGATTGCTCGGGGAAGGTGACACAGGTCGTTGGGGAACCCCTCTACTCTCCGGCGGCGAGTAGGGGCGTACCCGCAGAGGCATTTCCGTGTCTACGTACATGGCCGCATATCCATCCAAATTCAGTCCAGGAAAAATTCGTAGGCCCTCGCGACTTCTATCTAGATTGCTCGGGAAGCGTCACACGCGTCGTTGGTTTAGGGTACGGACTGGTTCTGACCATCCAATCTGAGCATCTCACGGCCGCACCGTGGCGACGTTTTAAGGCACTACGGTAGGAAGGAAGACTAAACTGAACCCTTGCTACCGGAGCATAACGCACCCTGAGAATGAATGAATGAATGTAGACAAGCTATAATTACGGTCACGTGCGGCCAATGGGGTAGCATTGCGATCGGGGAGGACGGTAGTGGGACTGACTTTGCCGAGCGTGTCTCGATCTTTCCTCGTTGCGTCTTTTTTTTTTTTGTTGTTTCCCTCGTTGCGTCTGGTTTCATCGATTTCCTTTCGTGCGGCTGGACTACTCTAGGAATAAGAACTGCTAGAAGCAAAAAAAAAAAAAAAAAAAGGGAACTACAAGAAGCTACGCGGCGCACGTCACCGATACCCTACTGCAAAAAGCCCGAGCAAGCCATCGAAAGAGACGTCCTCCGTCCTGCGTCCGCCGTCCTCCATCCTGCGATGTGGCTCAGTGCGCTAGCTATAAATAAATAAATGACTGTTCTTGTGGTTCAAGTTGAATATTTGAATTACGCGGCTGTTGACATCCACGAGGCTTCTTTAGCATGCTTGTGGCAAAGCATTCCACAATCGCCAGTCTTTGCACTTCTTCACATCTGCGAGTGTTTGCACTTCTTTTAACGAGTACCTGACTGATTCCTGCTTGAGAGGAAGTCTGTGCCCATACATATGAGAGAGACTGTTCTTCTAGTAAAGGTCTAGGCAACTACCAGTCGTGCGATTTCGTTGTGGCTCGCTGTGCTCTCTCTCTCTCCCTGTCTCTGCGAGCACTCTACACTCGTCTCACCATTCTGAGTCTCTGTTGTCGATTCCGTTGGCAGGCAGGCAAGTGCTTCGCCGGCGGAGGGACTGGCATCAGGTCTCCCGTCTGTCATTCAGTGGTCGACTGCTTTGCTGTCAGTCGCATTCTTCTTCGCCCATCCTGTAGTCGAGCGGTTTGCGATCGTTGTAGTTCGCGGGTCCTCGATCTGTAGTCGCGCGTCCCTCATCTCATTCTAGTACCATCTTGAGTGGGGCAAGGTCCATCCAGCGAGGCGTACACGTCAGCAGGCAGCCTGATGACGTGTTTGTCATCCCTTCAGCTGTCTGCCACGTGGCGCATTTGAACGCATTTGCTGGGGGCTGCTGCACGCAGGTGTGTTATCTTCGTAGTCCACTCTGTAGCTGCCCATGCATGTAGTTGTCGATGCAGTACTACTATAACTCGGTGGATCTCAGCGGCCACGTCACTTTCTACAGATATACAAGACGCTTGCTGCGCGCTGTATGCACGTGTGCGTATCCGTTATTCAGAATTGATTAGTCTGCCGATTCGTTGCGCGCCGTTGATTAAGTGTGTTTTGTGGTCCGATCGACGGTCGAACGGGCATCGAGCGCCGTCATCTGTGTCGGTGACCTGATCTAATAAGCTCATCAAGGTAGCTGATTGGGGGCTGTTGGCGCGTTTCCAAAGATGGGTGTGTACAGAATCGTCCTTCCAGACGCGAGCATGGCGTCACTGATGAACACGCTAGAACAGATAGCGGACTTCTCCAGTGACGTGGAGGATGATGTCAACTCGTCGACGACAGCGGATAAGTCGCGACGGGAGTACGTGAAGGAGCGACAGGCGATGGCCAACGCGGCGGTGGACGTGAAGGAGACGCCTACGCCGTACGAGTTTGTCGCGGACGTGCCGGGACTCAGCGGTGAGAACGTGAAAGTGCACGTGGAGAACGGCAGTACTCTCGTGATCACCGGCAAGCGCAGGCGCGACGCGTCAGCGTCAGCGGCAGAGGAGAATGGGGAGAAGAAGCAATTCAAGTACCTGCGGATGGAGAGGAGAGTGGGCAAGTTCGTGCGCAGGTTCACTCTGCCAGAAGATGCGGAGCTGGATAAGATTGGCGCGCAATGCCGCAATGGTCTCCTCACCGTCACAGTACCCAAGGTCCCTCCGCGAGAACCGGAAAAGCCCAAGGTGATCGACATTCAAATCAGCTAACTTAAAGCAGAAATGCATACCCAATCAGCTGAGGGCAAAGAGTAGTCCATCTCCCATTGAGGATGCTGGCATACGATTTGTTGCTCGTAACTGATTTCTCATCCAGTTGGTGTCGAAGCAGAACGTTGGGAAGAGTAACCATGGCAATTAGGGGGGCGCGTGCGTTATGGTGTCCCCGCCGCAATGCACTTGATCAGTATCTGTGTGGGAATCGGCTGTGATAGTGCGAGCGGGCGATTTGAACGTGCGGGAGAGAATGTCTAGTGGACGCTAGAAACTGACGAGAAGGATTGTGCAGGTTCTGTCAGCAGCTGCAGATGGTGTCCTGCTGTCGGTGAGGAAAAGTAGGCATCGATCAGCTTTGCGAGGGCGTGTGTGTGT